CACATGCATGTTAGAGCCAGGGCCAGCAGTTAGAAATAAAATGCTATCAGGAAACAAAGCAACACACTCGATACCAGGAACCAGCAGACACCAGCGTGGGCGCAGGAGTGTGTCAGACAACCTCAGGACTGCAGCTCCCGGAGAAAAGGACCAGGGGAGGATGCCCTGTATGGATTTATTTCTGACCTAAAGTCCTTTACTTATTATAACTTCTAGAAACAGATGAGGAGGGAATACAGAGGCAAAAAGAAAAAAAAAAGGATAAAGACATTAGCACACATGAAGGAAGGAATAAATTGTTGCCTTGATCCTTTAAAATACACTTTATTTCATTTCACAGTATCAAGTTTACCCTAGTCACATGACAAATTAGAACAGCATACCCAAAAACTTCAAACAAGAAAGTTGCTAGTGCTAGCGTAAGGCAGAACCACTTATGGACATCTACATAGACACAGTATACCGGGTAGTTTGGGGCTTCCCTGGCGGCTCAGACGGTAAAGCATCCACCTGCCAATGCAGGAGACCCAGGTTCGATCCCTGGGTGGGAAAGATCCCCTGGGGGAGGAAATGACAACCCACTGCAGTATCCCTGCCTGGGGGTTACCATGGACAGAGGAGCCTGGCCGGTTACAGTCAGTCAATGTGCAGAGTCGGACATGCCTGAGTAACTGAGCACATGAGCACGCATGTACGTGTGTGCACGCACACACACACACACACACGCAGGCGCACGTGCGCGCACACACACATACACACGCACGCAGGCGCACACAGCACTGCAAGGGAAGACCTCTGAGGTTGCTGTTACACTCCACCTTCACCAACCTGGGAAGGAGTCTGTGCTGCCAGTCTGCAGGGACAGACATTCCTCAGCCTTCAGGACCAACGTGGGGTCAGTTTGGAAAGACCAAGAGATTTTCTTATGAAAGATGGAGAATCTTAGCTTTTGTAATCTCTATATTCTTTTATCTGGATTTTAAAAACCTCTGTAATCTTTAAGTAACTATGACCAGAGTTATGATCATCCACTTTTTAAAGGCACTTACAAAGTCTGAAATATTGTGTTACATCTTTATTAAGCCAGAGTGATTTTTTCTGTTAGAAGTATTAGTTAAGCAGCTTTTGTGTACTTCATTTGAACTCTGAATCTCCTCATCTGTAGAACCAGGGGTGGGAGGAGGATTTGAAGAGCCAGACGTACATAGTACTGTGACATTCCACGCACTACATGTAATACTTCAGAGGTGCTGACTTCCTGAGACCTCAGCCAGCCTTTGACGTAAACGCGATTATTATGGCTGTTTAACAGATAAAAAAAAAATTGGGTCACAGGAACTTGATATTTTAACTTGCCCAAGGTCAAATGTCAAGTGGCAAAACTGGGACCCCAAACCTGGCAGTCCACCTGCTGCCTGCTTACTCTCAACAGCCAACAGTTAATCCCCTGCCGTATGGGGCCTGCTGTGGGGATCAGACGAGCGATCATGCCCCTGGGTTAGCACGCCACCCCACCAGACAGCAAGCGCATCTCGGGCTTCAAAAGTAACATGTAGTACTCTATCACTATACTTGTCAATGCAACATACCTATCACATATATGTGAAATAACTATCTCCAAACACAGTCTTTGGCATCACATATATCGCCAGGAAGGGCTTCCCAGGTGGTGCTAGTGGTAAAGAACCCACCTGCCAATGGAGGAGACAAAAGAGACACTGGCTCCATCCCTGGGTTGGGAAGATCCCCTAGAGGAGGGCATGGCAACCTACTCCAGTATTCTTGCCCGGAGAATAGACAGAGGAGCCTGGTGAATCACAGTCCACAGGGTCACACAGTCAGACACAACTAAAGCGACTTAGCATGCACCCATGCATATTGCCAGGTAACTAATTTTTGAGATTTATAGTTTCCCTTTTTTGGTTGAACTAACAAAGCATCAAGAAACCCAAGAATGTAAGCCAGAATTTATTCTGAACATACCATAAGGAGACAAGACTCTTAGTAAATAATCTCTTACTAGCATTCTTTTTTCAGATATAAAGATTTATAAAAATACAGTTGCAGAACATGTCTTTCTTACATACTCACAGATAAAATCATGAATCATCAATTTGGGTGAATAACTGAGCTGTCTGCCCACCACCAATAAACATTTATTGAGAGTTTGCCCCACAAATCACAGTTTCCTCAACACAGTAGAAGTTATTGAGCTTTCTATTTAGGGTGACTTTTTGAAAAACAAGCTTTTTAACCCCTGCTCAGGATAATAACCAAGAATCTCTCTGTTTTCATTCTAATCCCAAAGAAAGTCAATGCCAAAGAATGTTCAAACTACCGTACAATTGCACTCATCTCACACGCTAGCAAAGTAATACTCAAAATTATCCAAGCCAGGCTTCAA